TCGGTCATGGTATTTATTCAGCAATAGTAACCCTAAGACACCAATCTAGCCCCATGTTTTCCCTCTGTCTTTCTGTTACCCTCTCCTCTTGGCCTTCCAGTTGCCCAGCCTCTGCCCACTGCAAGACCCTCATCTCTCTAACAAGCCTGTGTAGCACCTTTATTAGACTCTCTGTACATCTTCATTTCCCCTTCCCAAGGCCCAGGAGACTGGAGGAACCTTTCCCTCAGCCATCTGCCCCATATCTGGTCCCAAATTCCTCATGTTCAAGGCTCTAACTCCACCTGCCTGCTCAAACCTGGACAGAGCTCTGCCTGCCCTCAGAGGCTCTGAACTGATGGTTCTCTGGGGAATAGGCCTTCCTGGGATGGCTGTGGGCTCTGGGGGCCTCCTTGACCTCTCCAGCCAGAACAGTGCTTCCCCATCCCCAAACTTGCTACTCTTCTACCTTTGTATATTAGTGTGTGTGTGTGTGTGTGTGTGTGTGTCTGTGTGTGTGTTTGTCTGTGTGTGTGTGTCTGTGTGTTCTTGGGGGTCAAACCCAGGACCTTGTACATACTAAGAAAGTACTGTACCCTGAGCTCTACCCACAGCCACCTCTGGATATTCTTGATCACCAGTTGGATACTCAGTTTCCTTTATTTTCCTTCCTTTCCTATTTACTTCCCTCCCTTCTCCCGTTCCCGTCCTTTGTCCCTCTTCCTTTTATTTTCTTCCCCCTCCTCTTTCCCTTTCTTCCCTTCCTTTTCCTCCCCTTCCTTCCTTCTCTTCCCTCTTTCTTCTCTCCTTCTCCTCTTGTCCTCGTAGAGCCCAGACTGACCTCACCAGTCCTCCTGCCCTCTCTAACACACTGAGATCCCCGAGAGATGGGACTTTGTACCTTTGTCCCCGCTCTGTGCCTGGCCTCTGGAGGAAAGCCTGTGTGCAAGACTTGCTGATGGACCAAACAGCAAATGTGTTCTGACAAATACTTCCCTCTGCGAGCCTCAGTTTCCTGTCCAGTGGTTTGTGTTTTGTTTTGTTTGTTTTTGAAAACAGGGATTCTCTGTAAGCCCTGGCTGTCTTAGAACTCCCTCTGTAGATCAGGCTGGCCTTGAACTCAGAGATCCATCTGCCTCTGCCTCCTGAGTACTGGGACTAAAGGCATGTGCCACCACTGCAGGACCATGTATAAGGACCCCAGGAGACAATGCATAAGAACTGTCAACAGTTCCTTCCATCCCTGTATATAGGGGCCTTATAATCTTAGTCATCCCCCTGCCCAGGGTGTCCAATATCTGATGGTCTTTGTTTGGGTTAAGGCTTCACCTCAGCCCCTGGCATCCATATATCCAAAAAGTCTGGATTGTTTGGGTGGAAAGTCCCATTCCGAGTCACCTCCCCTGGGAGTTGCCTCAGTCCGGAGTCCACCTCTGAGAAAGCCAGCCAAAGGGCTTTCCTTAGAGATGCTCAAGACCACTCCCACAGGGTATTTAAGCTGCCCCCCAGAACAAACACGACGTGGTTTTCTGGTCTCCTCTCTAGGGGCTGGAAGGCCACCGGGAGCGTTAGGATCCATTAAACGTGGGCTTTTTCTAATTCGGTTTGATTTGGTTTGATTTGGATTTATTGCATCGACAGAAAGGTTTATTGGGATGCAGAAACTTTTTAGTCTTGTTCCCCAGGAACCTCGAAGTAGAGAGTTGGGCCCATCTGTATTGAACATTAGTTTGGGGAGGCCATCTGGTCCCTGGAGGGTTCCCCTTTAAGAAGTGGGGTGTGCACACTGAAATTCTCTGAAGAAGCTTCTCTGTTCGACTTTGGCTGACTGGAGCATCAAGACTGTGGAGCCCTATCAGCCAGAATGAGAGGCATTTGATCCAAGCAACTGGGAGTCTGAGGCAGGAGGATGAAATACTTGGAGGGCAGTTGGAGGGAGACCATCTCAGAGTTACAGGGCGGGGGGAGGGGGGAGTGAAGGGCTGGGAAGGGGAGAGCCACTTTTAGAATCCCTTAGTCCCCTTCTGTAGCCACTTGCTGGGCTGACAATGGGGCTCAGTTGGCCGCGAGTTTGCCATGCACGTACAAAGTCCAGGTCCCACCGTCGGGTCCTACCGTTCCAGCGCTGCATAAACTGTGCGCTGAACACCCCCGGAGTGCTTGATTACAGGCACACACCACCTGCTGAGATTTAAAGCCGAGTTGTTATTTTGTGTAGATAGAGGTAGAGAGGGGAGCCGAAGGCATCCGGGTGAGATGGGTCAGACACACACCGGAGGCCCAAGGGTCAGAACACAGAATCTTCTAGGAATTCGTGAGAGCATTCGGAGATCTGCGGGTGCCCAGCTTACTAACCCTCCCTCCCACCTGGCCCTGGGCTCCTGGTCTCTTCCCAGGGGGTAGAGAGAGAGTTGTGCGCACAATTTCTCGCCTCTCCCCCTCCCCCTCTGCTCCAGGTTGCTGTCTCCTCCCAACCCCTGCTCCTGGTAGGCAGGTCCCTCCCCTGCATCCCCACCCCGTGCCTCCTGGTGCCCTTTGCCACTGCTACTTTGACCTCCAACTCCGCGTGCTGATCTCAATCTTCCTGCAGGTACCTTATTGCAACACGGGCACTTTTCGCTGCTTTCTAGTGCTGCTGGGAGCCCTGGCTCCCCAGGCTGCCAGAGCCTTCCTTCCTGAGCAGCAGGCGATAGCGGGTGGGGTCATACACGTGACTTTGGCCCTGTCACCCCCCCTTTTTTTAAAGTGAGTGTCTGTGTGAGGGGGGATGGGGATGGGGTATATATTGTGTGTGCACGTGCAAGGATGCTGGGAGACATTGCTGAACGTCACCCTCAGGAATACTGTCCCCTTCCTTTGGCTCATTAATTAGTTCAGGCTGGCTGGCCAGTAGCCCCACTATCTACCTGTCCCCACCTCCCCATCCTTGCTGTCACAAGCACATACCACCAAACCCAGCCTTCTAACACAGCGTCTGGGGCTCAAACTCCAGTCCTGCAGGATTCACGGCTAGCACTTTACACACTGACAATCTCCCCAGGCCCTACCACTTTTCTTCTATGCAGACTTAGAACACTTACCTTTCCAGTCCATTCTAAAACACTCTGTATCTTGTGGGATGGGGGTGGGGGCAATAAACAAATGCGAGGGTTATCCCCTAGGGCAGACTGCCTGTTCATCACTTCCAGGAATGTGTCAGCAGTCTTCCTTACCAGGAGCCCTGCAGGGTCAAAGGGCCCAGGAAGCAAAGCCAGGCACCAAGAGTTGGCCAATGAGAGCCATGTGTTGGCGAGGCTTTGTCTGGGCTCTGAGGAAGCCTGGGATGCACTCCCACCCGGTCTGTTCTGACTGTGCTTTACAAGGGAAGCGTGCCAGGTCCTACAACCTAAGAGGAAGAGACAGGGCTTTCCCAACACTTCACTTGGGGAGGTGGGGCGTGGTGTTCTTACAAGGGTGGGGCAGCCTCTGGACCTTGGACTAGGTGTTTTGATTCCTGGTGCTGGTGCCTACTCTCTTCTTATTTTTTTCCTCTGGGACTGAAGATCAAACCCTTGTTTGATTAGCCTTGTGCATACTAGACAAGTGTTTCACAACCGAGATACAATCTCAGACCTTACTTTATGTAAATATGGATGGGTGGATGGATGAATGGGTGGGTGGATTCAGGTGTGTGTGAGTGCATGCATGCGTGCCTGTGTGTGTGTGTGTGTGTGCTGGTGTCAAACCTATGACCGCTTCCATGCAGGCAAGTGTTATTCCACTAAAACTAATCCCGCACCACATAAACATGTATGTATGTGATGTGTGATTCCCCTCTGTATGCTGTGAATGTCATCGGTTAATAAAGGAGCTGCTTTGGGCCTATTGCAAAGCTATAGGGGAACAGAGCTAGGCAGGGAAAACTAAGCTGCATGCTGGGAGAAAAGAGGGTGGAGTAGAGAGAAGCTATGTAGCCTCACCGGAAACAGACACTGGAACTTTTGCCACAGCCATGTGGTGATACACAGATTAACAGAAATGGGTTAAATTAATATGTAAGAGTTAGCCAATAAGAAGCTGGAGCTAATGGGCCAAGCAGTGATTTAACTAATAGTTTCTGTGTGATTATTTTGGGGCTAAGCAACTGGGAACTAACTAGTGCCCTCCTACAACAAATTGGTGTTCCAACGTGGTCAACTATATTCATGTAAAATGTGAGAAAGTTTGAAAAGGAACTCTAGACACACAAAAAACAAAGTTTAGCTGCATTTTTTTTTCAGCTGGTGGCATGCTGCAGTTCCTTTGAGAGGTTGTCCTGATTCAGCGGTAGTACCCAACAACAACAAAAAACCCAACAACAATGAAAAAATGCGGGAGCAGATTCTGAATACTTGAAAGGCTTTGTGACCCTGGGTGCTTGTGTGCCCTCTCGGGGTCAGGAGCAAAGCAGCTGAGACCATGCCCACAGCTCAGCCCTCCCCGCCTGAGCAAACAGGGGAATCAGATCTACAAGGCATGCACAGGCAGGAGAGCATGGCAGATTCCTGCCACCATATACAGAGATATTTCCAGACTGCACACAGCACTACACGGCAGATTTAGCTATTGCTCAGATAAAAAGGGTTTATGTGCTGCACGCTCCTTCTCAGAGGTAAAGTGGTGAGTGTGGCTTCTACCTGGCAGAGCCAGAGTTGGCGGTAATGGTGCCTCTGCCATATTGAAAAGCAGAGAGAGGCAGAGCCAGCACCTGGGGCCTCTGAACCAAGCTGCTTACTATTTTAAAAACCATCTAGGACAGAAAAGGATTATAGATACACAATAGGACAGATTCAGACATAGAAGTCCTCTAAAGGAGACATCATGTGTTTAAAAAAATGTCTGTAGGCTTGGGAGAGAGATGAAATAGACAGTCATAGTGGTGGAATTCATTGATTTAATATAGCTCAGTGATGTGGGAGTGATTTCTTATTAATAAAGAAACTGCTTAGCCCTGATAGGTTAAAACATAGGTGGGAGGAGTAAACAGAATGGAATGCTGGGAGAAAGAAGCTGAGTCAGGAGTCGCCATGATTCTCCCACTCCAGACAGACGCAGGTTAAGATCTTTCCTGGTAAGCCAGCTCTTGGAGCTACACAGAATATTAGAAATGGGTTAGATCAATATGTAAGAGCTAGCCAATAAGAGGCTGGAACTAGCCGGGCCAGGCAGTGTTTAAAAGAATACAGTTTCCGTGTAATTATTTCAGGTAAAGCTAAGCCATGTGGGCGGCTGGGTGCCAGGGACGCAGCCCTGCCTTTCCTATCACTACAGCTCAGGTTTGCCTCAAACTCCTGGCTCATAACCATCCAATTTCAGCCCTCCTCTCCACCCCACCCCCGAGTAGCTGGGACATGGGTGTGCCCCACCATGCCTAACCACAAAGTACCTTTAGTACAACTGTGAAAACTCATTAGCTCAGAGGGACTGTTGCATTTTAAACTTCTCTTTAGATCTTTTGGAAGCTTGAGGCTCACTTCTATATTTTAGACAAATCTGCCTTGAGAGGCCACTAGTCTTCCCTCAGGTTCTGTCTACTCCCTGGTTGCTGGCCTGATGCTAACGACACACTATTGTGTATCTCCCAGAAGTACTAGGGATCAAACACTGGCCACTGGACTAAACCTTCAGTCCTTCCATGTTTGATTTCTAGATAGGGCCCAACTAAATTGACAGGATGTTTTTTGTCTTGTTTTGTTTTTAACTCAGAATCCTCCTGCTTCTGCTTCAGGCTAGGTTTACATGTGTGCTCAGGCATGAACTGTGTAAGCCCAGTTCAGTGATAAGGATGTAAGATGGCCAGGCCTTGCTTCCCTGACTTCAGGGGCCACCTCTTCCCATACTATTGCTGGCTCCTTCCCCTGCTAGGCTGTAGTTTCTTTTTCTTGAAACTGGTCTGGGAGCCACTCCTCTCCCCGACCCTCCAGGCCCAACACTGCCTCCCCCATTTGTAGAGATATTTTATTTGTGTTCTAATAAATAAAACTTGCCTGAAGATCAGAGTGCAGGAGCTAAGCCACAAGAGGTCAGGGAGTGGTGGCACACATCTTTGATCCCAGGACTCAAGGCCATCATGGGCTACGTGAGATCGAATCTGTCTAAAAATAGAAACAGGGTTCCCACCTTTAATTCCAGTACTAGAGAAGAATATAAGGCTGGAGGAATTCAGTGCAGTCTCAGTGGAGTCTGAGGTTTGGGGGAGAGCATTGCAGTCTGCAGTCACATTGAGGACAGGGTCACCCCTTTGTTTGTCTGAGCCTTTGTAGACGTACAAACTCTCTATGATTGGCTGCTTTGCTTTTCTGATCTTCAGCTTGAACCCTAATATCTGTCTCTGGGTTTTTATTATTCATGTTATACACATTTTCTACAGGCGCCCTTACCCCTGCCGGCAGGTACTCTTTGCTTCAGGGTTCCTTAGGGCTTCTCCAAGTCAGAATAAGTGACTATCTTGATGTTAGCCCCATGGTACCATCTTAGTGACTCTCAAATTTCATCTCCAAAGGTTGCTAAGAAACACCCTGCTCGTGTTAAGGGCAGTGTGGTGAGTGGCTTCAGACATGGATGGGTTGATGTCCTGACAAAATAAAAGCAGCAGCCAGTGGCGCTGAACAGGGGGTTAGCCATGTTTTTTCTCTGTAACTGGGGCTTCCGGGACACCTAGGAAACTTCAGGGCTGTGGTTGGGAAGAGGGCAGAAGCAGTTGGTAATTTTGCTAGGATTTTGACCGTGCTGCTGCTGAGAGCCTCCTGGCTTCTCTGTTGTGCCAAGTTTCCCGTTTCCATCCCGTCCCGTTGCCGCTCGCTTGTGTTCCTAGTGCTGTGGACATGAAGGCGGATGATCAGAAGTTCAATCCTGTCATCCTCTGCTGGACAGCTAGTCTGATGACAGAGTGGGCGTTTGTGGTAAGAGCTTTTACCTGCGGAGTCATCTTGCCAGCCCCAGCGAATGCCTTCATCTGTGTCTGTCTCACGGGGACATGCTGCAAGCTTCTGAGCATACTGCCCAGGTAGGTGGATCAGAGGTCAGGACACAGAAACAGTCTCACTGCCTGCGATGGTGATTAGTGACTGTCAACTTGACAGGGTCCAGCATCCCTTTGGGCCTCTGGGTCTATCTGTGAAGGTAGTTAGAGGATAGGGTCCCCCGTGGTGGGGAGGTGGAGGGAGTAGGAACTCCAAGAGGCAGCTTGTTACACTGTATGTACAACGGGGAAGCAGGGAGCGATGGATGCTGGCTCTCCACTTAAGGTCTTTTCATTAAGTCCAGGATGTTGCTTGCAGCTGGTGCTGCCCACGGCTATCGGGTCTTCCCACTCTTAGGAATGAAATCTGGAAACTCCTTCACAGATATGCCCAGGGGTTTGTTCCTGTAGTGAGTTAAATCCCATCAAGTTGGTAACAAGGTTCGCCATCGTAGCCCCTTCCCCCAGAAACTGACACATAAATTCCAAATCCTAGCCACTTTGTGTGTGTGTGTGTGTGTGAATCCAAGGGTATATGACGAAAATCAAACTTTTCTCTTGTCCACTGGTCTCTTTGTCACTTTAATTCCCAGATTCCCCAATAGCTGAGAGGGGAGAGGAAAAGCTTCCTTGCCTAAGGTGGATGGAAGTTTTCTATCGTCTTTCCCACATTCTGTTTCTGGGTGACTGTCCCCTCTGACCTACGGTTCCCATGCCAGGCTACTCCACAAAGTCCCATGGAGTACTTTTAAAAGCATGCGATCCTGGGCCCCACTGTAGAGGTTTAGATGCATTGGTTTGGGCTTGAGTTACAGCTAGGGCACAGCCAGCCCCAGAACCACGTTACTCAATGTTCTCCAACTTCCTTCCACTGACCTGAAACTCAGCTGGATGTGAAACCATGACCATTAAGTTGTTAGTGGCCAATTTAATCCTCTAGTGAGTAAGAGTTTTGCTTCTTCTCCCCCGCACCCCCCATCTCTGAGTTGAACCCAGGGCCACACACACACACACACACACACACACACACAGAGAGAGAGAACATCCTTTTTACTGCCACACTACACCCCGGCCCAGGATCATCCAGTGTGTAAAAACCTGCTGAGTGACCATGGAAATGACTCAGTAGTTAAAGCATACACTAACAGGAGTTAGGGCAGAGTCTCCATGCCCAGAACCATGTAAGACACCAATGGGTGTGTCATCCCTCCTATAACTCCAGCCTTGCTAGACAGAGACAGAGCAAGCCAGCAAGCCTAGGGAGGCCAGCCTATCAGTGAGCTGTGGTTTGGTTGAGAGGTCCAGTCTCTATGAATCGATACGACATCCCCAGCACCCTCTGTGGGATGTGAACTTTATCCACGGTCTTTGCAGTGTGGGTCCCCTGCCCCATAGCCACATTCTTCACTTACCTTAGGATGTCGGTGCTTCTAAGAGACGGTTCAGAATGTTTTTCTCCAGGTGAGCAGAGGACCAGGAAATGTGCACCGTAGGGAAAATCCCAGTGAACAGAGCAGACTAGACAAGCCTATGTCCATGACCTCTCAGCTTCCTGGTCCCACAGCCCTAGGCAGGATGTCAGGCCTGGGCCACTCTTCCCTCAGCGTTTCCCTCGCCCTCCCTGCTCCCTACAGAAGGGTACCAGCTGAGAGCAAAGTTGTGTGTGGGCAAAGGACTGGGAACATCTCAGCAAATATCAACACCTCCTTCTGCTGTCCCCTCCCTGAGACTGCAGTCAATAAATTCTCCCAGGGAAGCCAGGCAAATGCTTTGCTAACAGTCACATGTACCCTTGGCATGGTGGGGTGGGGAGGGGAGGTCGTCGTGGTTCAGTCTATAAAGTGCTTGCCCACAAACATAAGAACTTGATTTCGATCCCCTACATCCATTTAAAAAAGCCAGGCTTGAGAGGTGTACCTCTAATCTGAGAGATGAGGAAGCAGAGAGGGAAAAATCCTTGGGGCTCACAGTCCCCTGAGTCAGGAAACTCCATGGTTAGTGAGACACCTTATCTTAAAAAGTAAGGCCTATAGCAATTATGGAAGACACTGATGTACCAAATGTAACATACACCCACACATGTGTAAAGGCCAACCCACCTACATGCAAAATAATAATAATAATAATAGTAATAGTAATAGCAATAGTAGTAGTAGTAGTATAGCAATAATAATGGAAGGGGCCTGGTCTGGTGTCCTCTTCTTCCAGGACCCTGTGCCATCCCCTGTGAAGGTATGTGTGCGCTGGAGAGTTGCTTTTCAACTCCACACAAGCTAGAGACATTGGAGAAGAGGGAAGCTGAGGGACATTTTCTCGACTGGTGATTGATTTAGAAGGGACCAGAATAGGGTGGGCAGTGTCAATCCTGGGCAGGGGATCCTGGAGTGTGTTAAGAAAGCAAACCGAGGAGACCAGAGAGTGCATGGCAGTGAAGTGTTCTCCCATGGCCTTCAGGCTCCCAGTGTTCCTGTCCCGACTTCCATTAAGGATGGACTGGAAGCTAGAAGCCAAATAAACCCTTTCCTTTCCGAGTTGGTGTTGGTCTGGGTTTTATCGGAGCCATGGAAAGCAGACGTGGACAGTGTGTGTGTCAGTTAGCTCTCTATTGCTGTAACAAGGCCGTGTAACTCCTGCTCCGTGTCTCCCATCCTCACTGTGTGCAGGGAAGGCACTGAGCCTTTGTGATGCTGTCTGTCTAGGGTGCTGGAGGAGTTGGCTGCTGCTGCTGGTTTAAGGAATTACAAGGCATAAAAGGAGTGTTCCCAGAATCTTGGGAGTCTTGGTGGAACCATCAGGGGAAACTGAGGAACCCTCTTAGGGTTCTTAGTCTCACTAATGGAAAAAAAAAAATAAGAACTGATTCAGATGGAAGCTCCGGGGCAATTTGGTAGAGTTTAAAGAAAAACACAGGGCAGGTAAGCTGCCTGTCACAGCTTCTCAGAGGGGAAGGGAGACAGAAAGTCAGCATAGAGGTCGCCACGTGGTGGCAGGCAGCACACAGGGAGGAAACTCTGGGGAAAGAGTCAGGAAGCCCAAAGGACCTGGGACTTTAAAGGATCTGTAGGCTCTGGCCAGCACCCAGAGGGGAAGGACAAGAGAAAGGAGCCATTATGCCTTTCTGACTCTGCAAGTGGGAGACCCAGCTGAACCCAGTGACCTCTTGAAGGGGCTGCAGTAGGAGGTGAGGATGCTGGGCAAAAGCTCATTATCTGAAGGCGAACCTGCCTTCCTAGGGGTCCCCGACCTGTCCCACCCAGAGACAGAGTCCATCCGTATCTTTGCTCAGCTCTTCAGTCCCTCCTTGCGCATGTTCTTCTGTTTTCAGCCCCAGCTGAGCCCCTCCTTCACTTGCAGAGACAAACCCTGTCATGCACCTGCGGCCCTGGTCTCCCATTTTAAGGCTGGAAAGCCATCAGGCCAAGCAACACGCTGAAAGTCGCGTGGTAGGAGCGCACAATCTTGCCACAGCCCCTCTCTGGTGACACTGGGTCCTGTAGGAACAGGACAAACGACAGTGATCGTGTCTCCACTCCAGGGAAGGCAGAGTCACGAAGGTCAGTTGAGAGAGTGAGCTGTGCACTGGGTTGAAGTTCAGTGGGCGAACACTTGGTGGAAACTGAGCGGTCCTAGGTTCCACACCCAGCACAAAGGCCTACAAAGTATAAATTTTATAAAATTGCCTTTTTAGGGAAGTCTGGTTTTAGGGCAAGCACCAAAGACAAACATTGAAAAATTCCCCAAACAAAAATGTCTTTTATTAGATTACAGAACTTGAGCCCATGTTGAACTGAATTTTCCTACATGGCTATCCAATGTTTTCATGTGTGTGCGTGCCTGCACGCATGTGTGTGTGTGTGCAGGTGCACGTGTGTATGGGTGCTCCTGCATGTGTGTATGTGTTCAGAACCAAGGCTGTAGTGAAGTTACAAAGGGAATCGAGAGGGAGGCTGCTAGAACACCTTGGATCTGGTATATACTTGATTTTGAATTAATTTTTGGTCGCCGTATGTTCAGAAACATTTTACTGTTGTGCATTTTTTGTTACCTTCACATTCAGATAAGTGACCCCATATGGAGTTGCGACCCACAGTTTTAAGAAGTTGGGTTTTTAAGACATGATTTACAGTAGCCACCACAATGGGAACATGCCACGGATAACGCCTGACTCTTCACCAGAGTGCCCCAATTCTGCCAGACTCCATCTGACCTCGTCACTCCTTAGGGACCAGTTCCTCAGTGTTGCTCCATTCTGCTCCCTCCCTTCCTTCCCTTCTGCTGGTGTGGACACAGGATCTACAGCTTGCTGAGCTTGTGGGCTCTCGGACTCTGAGTCTGGTCTGGTGGCCTCCTCCATGGGCTAACCTTTTCTTGGACCATATGGTCTATCTGCTGCTCCTTCCTCTCCCTGCACCTCCCAGCTAAAAGCCCAGGGTCCTGCTTCTTGCTGTCTCACGTTAGCCTTGATCCTTTGTAACTGGGTGCTGGGAACCCCTCCAAGGGGGAGTTTAGGAGATGCCTAGAGGAATGGGGGAACTGTACTGACAGCCGTTGGATCTCACTGCTAATCTTTGTGCTCCAGTGTGGGACTGGGTGTGTGGTACACAGCAGTATTCAGGAAGGGTTCTGTGAACCAACAAATGAAAGTGGATGAAGAATAAATGAAGAGTAAAATAAATGAAGCGCAAAAATACCTGGAAAGAAGGAGGAAAAATACCTCAGCTCTCCGCAGGGTTAGTCCCCGGGTCCCTCTATCACACACTGAGGGGAAGTCCTCCAGAGGCTCCTGTACAGAAGAGTATGGCAGGGGGGTCACAAACTAGAGACAAGCACACTGCCACATCATATCTCTCCTGCCCTCTCTCTCTCTGTCCTGGGCCTAGGGAGTTGTGGATCTAAAGTCTTTGGCTTCCTCTCATGGTGTAGTTGTGAGGACAGAAACTAAGCTAGCTCATGGGGACATGGGAAGGACAGGAGCCCCTCATCAGGATTCTGCTTGAAGCCTCTTGTTATCTGGGAAGGAGGCCAATACAACTGGCTTCTGATTC